AGGAAAATGTGTATTTATTATAACACTTGAAGTTGACAGAAACTGACACACCACACTGAGACTTCTCCAGAAAAATGTGTATTTATTATACACCTCAAGTTTACATGACCAAGATGCACCACATCAGACAGTATAAACAAACTTGATCTTTAGCTTTTTTTTTAACTATTGGTCTTAATAAAAACAAAAAAAACTTAAAATATGCATAGCAAGATATTTTTTCTTTTAAGATGACTTTGAAACCTCAACAACAGATTAAGTCTTTTACTTATATTTTTTCTGGTTTAAGTTTTAATTACTAAAGGTCAGTACCTACATGTAGAAATAACTATACAAATTTCTAACGAAGAAGGCCTAATATCTTTGATGAAATGTTTATCATTAACTTTCTTTATGCTTTCTCAATTGTTATTGTTTTCTCCAAAGTAATGAGTTGAATCCTTAAATTACACATGTACTAAAAAACCTAAGAAATTTTGTAGACGTATATTTTAAGCTGATAAATGGCTGTATACATGTAACAGAAACTCTCTCAAAGTATACTTCACAAGTGGTGCCTTCTGATGACGGTCCTCGGCATTTCCAGGCATTTCTTCCTTCACTTTAAACTGGTTGAAGGGCTGCGATTTGTCGATAAAGCTGATAAAAAATTCAATTAAAATCAGGAGTATCATTTGACAAATTCCTGCATGTAGCGAGTATCTATGTTGAATTAAGTCACATACTTTAAAAATTGAAGAAGTATTTAGACAAGAACCAGAAGTTTCACTCAAAAAAAAAATTCTGTTGTAATTTGATTAAGGTCATTAGTAAAGTGGCTTGAGACAGTAAAATATGGCAGATTTAATCTCATTCATAATAATACCATCACACTCAATGTTTAATCATGCTTCCAGTCTGAATATTCTGTTCAGTGATAAAAACAAAACTGAAAACATTTACTGAAAAATAAAGTTAGCTGAAGCTCTATAAATCTGCTAGTGTTAAGTTTTTTTTTTATATACTTACATCAGTATAATTGTAGTTGGTATATCACCATTTTCTAGTGTTTGTTCAGTTCCACTTCAACGTGATTTTGCTATATATACTGTACTTTATTATTGCGATATATTTTTAAAACCAAGTTATGTAAAGAATGTATGTAAATGTATTTATACCAATGAATAATTTACCCATCTCTTCTGGACACTCACCACACAAATATGTTTACGGACAATTAACCCTCAAAATACAAGCTTCTCAGAAGATTGTTCTAGTTTATTACTAGATGAATCAATTGGTAGCTGGTTATCACTAACTACACCTTTTAAGAAGCAGTTTGAAGCTCCACAGGAAAAATCTGGTTTTTCCTGTTTTATCACAAAACATAAAATTTATTACCTTTGTCATTGAACCAAATTTCCCAAATGTACATCATCTTGTGCAACATACCTCATCAAATCTGTGAATCTGTCGAATGAAGAAATCCCCATAGCGCCGTGCCACTTTTGTGTCAGCAATATGGATCATGTCCTATATGTATATAAACAAAATTAAAACTTTTTTTAACATGTACTAAAATCTATGATAATCAACACAGCTAACTACTTAGGTTTTGATTGTACTTACTTAAGAAAAAAAACAAAACCGAAGCAGATGCTACTCGCAAGGCATATTTTGGAAAGTATCAGTTTTATTTTTACTTATTAATTCTTTTCACACCTGGATGAAAACAAAATTAAACCCTTGAATACGAAAAATAAAATTTGTAGTCACTTATCCAAATATTAAACGAAATCAAAAAAATTTTTAAAAAGGAATTTATTCTGTAAAAAGTTGTATTTAATTTTATTCTCAAAAATAAAATACAAATTGCAAATTTTAATTTTTGGTTGATTTCATTCAGTAATCCCAGTGAAACTGTTTGTTAATTTCCTGAATTGTTTTTGATCATAATATGGCATTTGTAACTTCCTAGGAGGAGCCATAATAGTTTGAGTAAAAAAAGTTCTAATTGGTCCTTGTAACTTAAATACAAATGTAGATTTATCAATTTTTAGCCAATCACTGCATTTGAGCCCGGTTGTCAAGGTGCCATGTAATTACAGCCAACTGATCTAAACACATTATAGGTCTTTTTCCATTATTTTCAACTATAAAAGCTAAAAAGGCTTTCAGTTCAGTAGGAATTAATGTAGAGATTGACATGTTGATATAAGAAAATATATTTGTGAACAGTATAATTAAAGTAATGTTTTGTTGTTGTTTTTTCTAAAGCTTGTAAAAAGCATACTTTATCATTTTTTTATTTCCTTTGAATTATGATGTTGTGCTATGAGAGGAAATGTATTTTTGTGAAACAACAAAGAATAGGTTTGTTTAAACCATTTTTGTGTTTGACTGCATCATCTCACAGTTTTAGGCCTTGTTTCCATTTACGTCATAAGTAACTGCTTGAAAATCACCAAAAAAAAAATGTAAACCAAAAATGTATAAATGAATACAAAATGGGTTTAAAATAATTACAAGTATTAAATAAAATCTTCTGATTAACAATTAAAGAAAAGTCAGCTTAACTGAAATGTTGGTATGATAAAAAAGTTATATATATTGTATGCCAGTGATCATAAACACAGTGAAACTGTGTGCACTATTGTTAGAATCAAAATAATGATAAAATTTACAGTTTAATAAGTAAATTTTATAGGAAAGTTTTAAAAAAAGTAGGAAGACAAAAATCAGAAATGAAAAACTAAAATCAAAGTAAGCATTTTTAATTGTTTCTTAGATAAGAAGGCTACAGAGATCAAAGATTCTGTATTTTCTAAAACAAAATCAAAGTACCATATAAAATATATTTTTAGATAATAGAAACCAGAAAGTGGGGGGGAAAAAAGGACTCTTATATGACTTTTATTAAAAAAAAAAAACATGAAAACATTCACATAAAGTAAAAACAGAAAATTCAGCCCAGCACTTCAGAGGTTTGTCACAAATGTTGCACACCTAAACTCAAATTCATACATTATCCTACCAACTCAATTGATACTGCTTAGTGCAAATGATATCCCTCCCCTCTTCTATACACTTACTTTCTTTGAATGTGTTAATTAATCGATTAGGGAGAGAGGTGAAACATTAATGAAAAGTGGTTACTATTCTTGAAAATTCCCTCTCTTTCATTGAGGGAAGTTAGGGTTACCTCCCCCCTCTTTGAAATAATGAATAAGGTCTGCTATCATTTCTATCATCTTTTTTTTTGCTCTATAGTATAATATTCATAAAAGTTACACAATTCACCTTTTTATAAATAAAAAGTAGCTATTTTATGAACACTGTAAACACATAAAATGGTGATGAAAAGTGAAACTAGAGAAAAGGATACATCAAAACACGCAACAGAGGTTTAACAAAATATAGGAACAGATACATCATAAACATGCTGCAATGGAGATTAAACAAAAAATATAGGAATAGTTACATCAAAAACATGCTGCAGTGGAGATTAAACAGAAAATATAGGAACAGTTACATCAAAAACATGCTGCAATGGAGATTAAACGGAAAATATAGGAACAGATACATCATAAACATGCTGCAATGGAGATTAAACATAAACATGCTGCAATGGAGATTAAACAGAAAATATAGGAACAGATACATCATAAACATGCTGCAATGGAGATTAAACGGAAAATATAGGAACAGATACATCATAAACATGCTGCAGTGGAGATTAAACAGAAAATATAGGAACAGATACATCAAAAACATGCTGCAGTGGAGATTAAACAGAAAATATAGGAACAGTTACATCAAAAACATGCTGCAATGGAGATTAAACAGAAAATATAGGAACAGATACATCAAAAACATGCTGCAATGGAGATTAAACAGAAAGTATCGAAACAGATGACATTAGG